GGTTTTCAATCGATTTAAATTTTCCGAGGTCGACCTATGCTTCTTCTGAGGTCGACCTATGAAAGCAATTTTGTACTTGAATTGTTACGGGTTTATGTCGACCCATTCTCGTTTTAAATTAACTGAGGTCGACCTATGCTTCTTCTGAGGTCGACCCATTCTCGTTTTAAATTAACTGAAGTCGACCGCTTTATGGAGTGGTCGACCGCGTTTTGTTCATTTCGAAAATGTGACTAAAGTGTATTCTTGCTTGTTTGATCGCAGGATGTTTGGCGGCAAAAAGAAAAGAAAGGCACAAAAAGCTGCTGCCTCAAGTTCGGAATGGGAAGAGTTCAATCCCAATATGTTCCAGACCAAGGAGCAAAGTGAGAACTGTGAAGAGAAGAGAATGCACAACCGCAGGGTGGCTCCGGGAAGGCCATTGACGACGGATGCGTATTCTCATTTCGAGAGTTACGGGTTTCTGGGATCCTTCATCGAGCAGGAGTGGCTGAAGGTGATATCTCTCAATGTACGATACTACCCAAAACTGGTACAATACTTCTACAACAACATCGTCTACGAGCGCAATGCAAATGGATCCGTTCACACATTCAAATCCTATGTGAATGGGGTGGCGATGCGCATCAGCAAGAATGTGTTGGCGCAAATACTAGAGGCTCCAAACGAGGGGAAGAGAATCCATTCTTACGGTGCTTGGAATGAAACGCATTTCACGAGAGCTAAGCAAATCCAGACGGTATGTGGTCTTGATGAAAAGGAAGATGCTCAGGGTCGCAATAGGCCAACGAGTAACCACCTAACAGTTCAAGCCAGAGTTCTTCACCACTTGCTTTCCTACAACATTCTGCCAAAGAGTGGACATCGGGAGACAGTCACCTACTTCGACATGGAGCTCCTCACCAACCTACTGTTAAACGAGAAGGTGAACTTGCCATACTTGATCTTTAACCACATGCTTACTGCTGCAGAGAGTTCAAACAGGAATCTTCCCTATGGGATGATCCTCACTGTGCTATTTGAGCATTTTAATGTGAATTTAAGTGAAGATGTGGGGTTAAGAATCGCAAGGCAGGAGTTCTATACTGTTTCATCTCTGAAAAAGATGGACTTTGAGCTGCGTAATGGTGAGTATGTCAGAATAAACAATGCTCATGGTGGTGGTGGTGATGATGATGATGATGAGGATGATGATTGTGATGAAGGAGCTCGAGATGAGCCAATGGCGGAGGCACAGAGTTCAACTCCACCGATCACCTTAGAGCGTGTGTGGGAGCGCATGGATGGCATGTACGAGTACATGGGCCAGATGTCCACCCAAATGACTGGCATGTACGACTACATGGGGCAAATGACCGCCCAGATGAGCACAATGCAGGTGACCGTGAATGAGATGCGAGATGAGTGGCGATCTTTCAGTGAAAGATACATGCATCCCACCACATTCCACCACCATCAGGCTAGCACCACCAATGAAGAAAATGTGGATGAGGGAGAGAAGGGAGATGAGTAGGAGCGCGAAGATTTTAGATTGTGTGTTTTTATTGTTAAGTGGTCAAAACGATTGTTGATTGTTATTCTGTTGTTTTTTTAGTTTTATTTTTATGTGTGAACAATTATGATTTCTGTTTTATTGTATTTCTTGTTAGTTTGTTTAGTTGTTATGCTATGAATTGATGAGTCCTTGTTATCATTATTTATGACTATTTATGATGGCTTGAACCACACAAATATGACTATTTATTTATGTTAAAAGTCAAATATAACAAAGAAGACCCTAAAAGAACCACACAAATCGACATACATAAGCAAAAAAGACACGGGGCATAGGTTGACTTTCTTGTATTCGGTCAACCTTGTACCGGATTAGGTCGACCGCGAAACCAACACTTGATCTTCATTTTACGTCAAATGATTGGACATTTTGACAGAACACTTATCTTCTATCCGGTCGACCTCTTTCCTTATCTGGTCGACCATTTTGTTAATGACTGCCATCAAGTGGTAGACCTATGTACCGTAGGTGGTCGACCATGTTGTTTCTGACGCCAACGAAATGGCCGACCGAGGTTTTATTCTGGTCGACCAAAAATAACAACTTAAACTAAGTGCGGTCGACCAGGTGGTCGTTGAGGTCGACCACAATGCTTTCTCGTGCTGCCCAAAATAGTCAATTCGGTCGACCGTCTTCAGGAATAGGTCGATCGAAAAGTGCATGTCACCGTGACATGCATGTCTTAGTAGGCATACAAAAATCACACTACACATACAAAAATCTGTATCCGCTTAAAATTTTTGTATTCGTATTATTGTCAAATAATTTCATTTTTTCTTGCAAATTTGGTTAACTATTAAAAAAACTTCTCGATTTAAAATATCTTTTATTTTAATTACTAGAACAGAAAATTAATCAAAATCATGTCCAACCATTACCAACATATATAGTTTTGGGACTTGCCCATATTCATTAAAATCAAAGCAATGATCGATTAAATTGAATCACCGTCAAAAGCCCCATTAATTTTTTTCTATATGAATACAATTAATCAATTTTAAAAATCCCTATTAATTGGTACGCCTACAATGCATTGCAAGTCACGATAACTTAATATCAATCCAAAACTACAATAGTTCACACATATCTAAAATTGAAAACCACAACGACTTAATATCAATTCACGATCGTTTTAGGAAATTGAATTAATAAAAAATGACATTGTTTTCGGAAATTTGATTAACAAAAAAAATAATGTGACGGTGGGCTACGTTGTAATTGTTTTCAATGGGGTTCTAATTGTTTTTTTCCATTTTGCAAATTCTATCAAGTATCTAGTTTATGGGAAGGTTTCTGGTTTATGGGGGGATAAGAAAGAAGAATGAAGAAGAAAGGAAGGAGAGAGAGAGGAAAGGGATGTTGTAAAATTAAAAAAAAAATAGCCCCACCCCATTTTCTCTCCAAATTAAAGGGGTGAATTGCACAGTATATTGTCTGTCCTTTTTCTTTCCCTCACCCCCTTTTACACCCTAAAAGAACATATGGTTAAAGGTAAAGAGAGTCAAAAGCAGGTTGCAAAAGGGACATGGCAAGCTATTATCCGCTCAATTTGGAGAGAGAGGTGTGTACTGAGGCATGGAGGAACCAGAAGAAGTATCCCTGATCTAATAGAGCAGATTAAGAAGGATGTTGCAATGAATTTTTATGATGTTAATATTTCATAGTATTGGTCTGTTTGAATTAGCTTTACTCTTGAGTATAGGTTTGTTTTGTTATAGATGTTATAAGTAGGTAGCGGATTGCTAACTCAGTTGGCAGAATGGTGTTGCCAATAGGTTGGAGTTTTTTTATGATGTAAAATTTTAGCTGATTCATAAAAAAATGATAGATTTGATTTTACAGATATTTGTCCTATTCATAAGAAAAAAAATATAACAATTCTATAATTTGAACCATGGTCTCTTTAAATAAGGAAGTGAACATTACCATTTACACTTACACAAATTGATGTATCCTTTTAAACTTAAAACATATGACTTTTCCACTATGGTTAACTAGCCCACTAACGATTTCGTAAGTATTTTTTCAGTGTTTGATATTTCGATTTTTATATTTTTATTGTTTAATTCAATTTTAACAATTAATTTAGCTACATGATAGAAATACACATTTTAAATATTATGAAAACTTTAGGATGTATATATCATAAATATGTCATACTCAAATGACATTTCGACCAATTGGTCAGACACCAAACTAGTATTAATTTATGGCGTAGTTCCTTGGAGCTTGGGTTGTGGTTGGCTTAGGATGATCAATTTGTCTCGAAAGTCCTTTGTATTTTATGGGAAGGGTTAGGGTACAAAATCTCTATCTACAAGATCACTACAAAATCACATCATCCACCCTCCATTCCTTTCCTCGTCCATTAGTCAAGAATAATTCCCAACAAAAAGAGGGGCGGTTTGGTAATTATTCCACCCATGGGGTTTTTTTCTGATAGTTCTAACATGACACGGATCTACAGGAAAGAGTATGTACTTTTCCTTATTCTCTATTTTTTTTAATTGGAACCTACAAAATTCATTATAATTCTGAATTTAACTTTTTCATATATAGAAAGAATACATTAATTATGAGCTACACATTAATATCCATCGTCTTGACTTTGGTTACTGTAGGTTCTTTCCTTCCTTCCTTTGGTTTCCTGCCACTGCTTGGAGTTAATTAGCATATATGAATTGAATCCCCAGCACTAGGGCTGGAAGTTTGGTACCGGTATTAGGGATATACCGAATACTGTACCAAATTTATCACTATTTGGTATTACCGAATACTAGCTTATTTCTTAGGGATTGAGATTGTAATTCATTTCGGAGTCCTTTTCGGTATTCGGGATTACGAGATTGGGATTGGTATATACCAAAATACAGAGAAATACCGAAAAATTAAAAATTAATGAAAAATAGCACACAAGTTTTTGTCATTCCTCACTCTTTCACAACTTAGAAGCACCCATCACTACAAGAAACTTCATTTTTTGCGACGGAAAAATTCGTCGCAGAAATTTGTAAATCCGTCGCAGAAAGATTTCTGCGACGAATGTCATCGCCGCAAAAGGAGAAAACACTTCGTCGCCTATACAACGTCGCAAAAAGTTCTGCGAAGGATAAAAACGGTTGGTCGCAGAAAAGTACAAGTTCGTTGCTGAAAGTCGGGGATTTTGCGACGGACATGTCGTCGCAGAATGATCATTAGGCGACGACAACAGCTTCGTCGCAGAAAACTTCACTATTTGCGACGGATGACCCATCGCAGAAATTATAATTAGCAACGAGATGATTCGTCGCAGAAGGTGAAAACATTTTCTCCAGAGATTTTTTTTATTTTATTTCTTTATTTGTAATTTGCAATAATTGACTTTCCATATCAGTTTAGTATAAGTCCCATCTTATTTTTTAATTCAATCACTGAGTAGTAATTATTTTGTGGTTCATACTTCATTGACGAGTCTAAAACTAACATCCCAGGTCAGTACGAGGTCATCGGTTTCCTTGTTGTCTGAGTCTCTGACGGTGGCTAATCACTCGCCGACCACATCTATCTCTCTTCTACTCTATCGAAACCAGAAAAAAGAAAAAAACAAGCATTAGATCTGCAACCAAAACCAGGAAAACCAAACAAAACTAAAAATAGATGGAACCGCACCAGATCTATGTCTTTTTGGACAGTTTGGGGTGATTCGGCGATGCTTCATTCCTCGCCGTCGTCGAGATCTATCTCCCTTCCTCTGGATCGAACACACATAAAAGGGGAAAAAAAACATGCGATATAGATGCAACCAAAACCAACAAAAATGAAAACAAAAAAACTGAACCGAGACCTAGATCTAAATTTCTGGTCGGTTTGGGCTCGACCGGCTCTGATGCCGATGGTCAGCGATGGAGAAGGGTAGACGAAAAGAAGCCTGAGTCCAGCTCAGAAGCCACCGTGAGCTTTGCCCGCCGCCGGTCGCCGTTGGATTGGCCTTGTCGCCGCCGTCATAATTTTGCCAGTCTCGCAAATCTGGATCGAGGAAAAAAGAGTAAGCCTTTTTGTAGAAGAAGAAGCTGAAGATATCGGTGTATTTTGACCTTTGCCGCCACAGATAGAAAGAGAAGGAGTGTGGAAGACCAGATCTGGTTTCTTCCTTTGTTTCTGAGAGAAAAAAGGAGGAGATCAGAGGGTTAGCATCGTTAGAAGGAGAAAAATGAGGGGGAGAGGCGGCTAGGGTTTACTCAAGCCCTAAACCATCTATTTATACCCCTATCCCACGAATTTACTACTTTGCCCCAACACGCTGTCTCTGGAAAAAATTAAGCAACGCTTGACGGGATTCGAACCAGCCTCCTCGCTCAAAAGGTACAATATTGCTATCAATTTAACCAATCAGTCTACAACCGAGTATTTGTTTGTGTAGATCATTCTATACTTTTTATTGCGTAATATTTCGTAACAATTAAGTTGGAATAATTAAGTTCCATTAGTAAAATACGGTATGTTAGGTTATGTATAAAATACGTATAGGTATATTACTTCGTCTCTAAACTAATGTTACATTCAATAGTATGTCAATAGTAAAAAAATGTATAAAATTAATTATTTTATAAATAAATACATACATATATATATAAATAATAGTTAAGTTAGTAATTTAATTTATTAAATACGGATATTAGCCGTGTTGTACGTGTTTAGTACGGGAGCCATCAAATGAACGGGAGAAAATAAAACGCCTTGAAAATAATATGGATACAAAAGTTTTAAACGAATAAAATACATATGGGTACATATACATGTATTAAACGGAGTATTTACTATCTATGTCTCCAATAATAAAAAATTTCTTGAAACATTATATGACGACTGAAAAACGTCCCACCAAGTCCCAAACATTCTGCGACAACAGAAATCACTACAGAAACCCCTAGACTTTTTGCGACAAAAGTACTAAACATTCTACGACGACACATAATCGTCGCAGAAAGTCCTGAAGATTCTGCGATAACACACAATCGTTGCAGAAAGTCCGAAAATCTCCATACATTCTGCGACGACAAAAAATTGTCGCTGAAAATCTCCTGACATTCTGCGACGACAACAATCATCGCAGAAAGTCTCCATAAATTCTGCGACGACAAACAATCGTCGCAGAAAATCTACATACATTCTACGACGCCTAAGTATCGTCGCAGAAAATCTACAAACATTCTGCGACGACAAAGAAGCGTCGCAGAATGTATGGAAATTTTTTGCGACGAAAGATGATCGTCGCAAAAAATCTTTACACATTCTGCGACAAAAAGGGAAATTCGTTGCAAATTGTACACTTTCTGCGACGAATTTCTTATCGTCGCAGAAAGTGCAGTTTCTTGTAGTGCATCCAACTCAATTTTGACTTTCCAGTTTAAGTCACTCTTGTCACTCTTGATAACTGGAGACCAGGGTCAAGAGGAGTGTTTGCAGGCTTGGAGGCCAGCATCCCTTGATCCTTAAGCAATTCCAGAGCATACTTCCTCTGGTTCATGTGTATACCTGCAGAAGATCTGGCTATTTCCATTCCAAGAAAATACTTAAGCTGTCCTAGGTCTTTTATGGTGAAAGCTTTGTCTAAGTGCTCTTTGACCCTATTAATTTCAGCCATATCATTACTAGTTAAGACTATATCATCCACGTAAACAAGCAAAGTAGTGTAAGAATTGGGTTGGTTTTTAACAAATAATGAGTAATCTGATTTTGATTGTGTGTAACCAATAGAAAGGAGTGTGGATGTCAATTTGAGAAACCACTGTCTACTGGCTTGTTTCAAGCCATATAGACTTTTTGTTAACTTGCAAACCTTGTTTGCATCAGCAGGGTCAGTGGTGAGGCCGGGAGGTAAAACCATGTAGACCTCTTCATCGAGATCTCCATGCAAAAAAGCTGTATTAACAACTAGTTGATGAAGATGCCAGTTGTTAATAGCAGCAAGAGTTAGTAAAACCCTGATTGTTGTTATCTTAGCAACCATACTAAAAGTGTCAAAATAATCTATGCCATAAGTTTGGGTATAACCTTTAGCAACTAACCTAGCTTTAAACCTTTCTATGGAACCATCAGACTTGTATTTTATTTTAAAAACCCATTTACAGCCTATAGGTATCTTACCAGGAGGTAAATCTACTAACTTCGATGTTTTAGTATCTATAAGAGCTTTAAGTTCGAGGAGGACAGCTTTAACCCATTCTGGATTCTTGATAGCTTGCTTATATGTTTTAGGTTCCTTAAGTTGCATAATTGTTAAGGCAAAATGCAAGTAGGAAGGTGATAAGTCAGAATAAGACAAAACAGAGTGTAAAGGATACTTACAGTGGGAGTCAGTTTCTGTTTGACAGGCATTGGCAGTGGTGTCGAGGTTGTGATGATAGTTGGACAGATAAGATGGAAGAGTACTTTGTCTTGATGATCTTCGTAACTGTGGTTCTTCTGGCTGTGGGAGGGGAGTGGGTGATGGTTGGGGACTGTTGGCAACAAGGGAATGGATGGGAGAGGATGGAGTGTGAGTGGGAGAGGGAGGAGTGCTAGTGTTTAAATAGAGTGGTGTATCAAAAGAGATGATGGTAGACAAGTCAGTTGTGGTAGTGGAAGAAGGAGTATCAGGTGGATGATAAGAGGCAAAAGGGAAGATGTTCTCGTGAAAAGTGACATCCCTATATAGGAAAATCTCTTTGGTTTGAATATTGAGCAGTTTATACCCTTTTGTACCTGTAACATAGCCTAGGAAAACACTAGGAACAGCTCGGGGAGCTAACTTAGACCTATTATGAGACAGTGTAGAAGCATAACAGAGAGAACCAAACACTCTAAGATAGGAATAAGTAGGTGGCTTATTATGCAACAGCTCATAGGGACTTTTATTTGCTAAAAGTGGAGAAGGAAGACGATTAATGAGATGAACAGAATGTGTGATAGCATGATTCTAATAAGTAGAAGGAAGGGAAGACTGAAATAGTAAAGCTCTAGTCATAGCAAGTAGATGTTGATGCTTACGTTCAACAATTCCATTTTGTTGAGATGTTTGAACACAAGTACGTTGATGTAGTATACCAGTTTCATTGTAAAACTCACTATACAGAAATTCTTGACCATTATCAGTTCTAATAGACTTGATTTTCTTATTATATTGTGTTAAAACAAACGTGTAAAAAGATTTCAGCAAAGGTCTAGCTTCTGATTTTGATTTCATGAGAAAAAGCCATGTATGTCTAGAGAAATCATCTACTACTGTTAAGAAATACAAATGACCAGAACTAGAAGCAACTGAGGCAGCACCCTATATATCAATATGTAATAGATCAAAGCATTGAGCAGATACGGTTTGACTAGTAGGAAAGGGTAAACGCTTCTGTTTTGCACAGGGGCATACAGAACAATGGAACTGTTTATTCGTAGTAATATCAGAATCTATAGCATGTAGTAAAGGAAATTTTGCATAGGGTAGATGGCCTAGGCGATAGTGCCAGAGATCAATAGTGGATTGGGAGGAAGAGGAGAGCTGGACAGAGTTGGATGTATGTGGAGTTGTCATGTTATGTTGAAAAGCAGCATGAGGGTCCAGTTGATATAAACCATCTCGGAGATTAGCTATACCAATCGTCCTCAGAGATAGGAGGTTCTGTAGTAAGCAATGAGAACTAGCAAAGGTCAGTCCAAGGGCTACCTTGGCTGCAAGCTTGCTCACTGAGACTAAGTTAAATGTGAAACTAGGAACTAGAAGGACATCATGTAAGGGAAGGTTGGGAAAAACATGACACTGCCCTATATGAGTGATCAAAGCCTTATCCCCATTAGGGAGGTAAACATAGGCAGGTGGGACAGACCTATAGTTATGCTTGCTCACTGAGACTAAGTTAAATGTGAAACTAGGAACTAGAAGGACATCATGTAAGGGAAGGTTGGGAAAAACATGACACTGCCCTATATGAGTGATCAAAGCCTTATCCCCATTAGGGAGGTAAACATAGGCAGGTGGGACAGACCTATAGTTATCTAGGTATTCTATTTAACTAACTATATGATCAGTGGCACCCGTATCCAAAATCCATTTAGGAGATGTATCAACCAACATACAAAGGGATGGAGAAACAGTGATCTTACCTTGTGGTGTAGGAAGTGCATGAGTGTTGATAGAGAATGCCTGACTAGCAGAAGGAAGGCCATAGGAGACTGGCAGATCAGATGTAGCAGTTGGTGTGTTGTAAGGAGGATAGGCCGGAGAAGAAGTAGATGCCTGAGTAGCGTCAGATTGCTGCTTGAAGTACTGTGACTGCATGAACTGAGTCATCTTCTAGTAAGTCTCTTGAATCTGACTCCACTCCCGAGGTGGGAAGGATACTGGAGTTGGTTCTGCAGAGGAACCCTCTTCTGTTGACACACAATGATTCTAACGCACTATAGCTAAACCACAATTGCAAAGACCATTGCATAGACAAGGAGGAATCGGCAAGAAATTATCCAATTCATGCATCAAAGTGGTCATCTGTGTGAAGTAAGCACTTACAGACTGGGAACCTTGCTTGAATCGGAAAAGATCTTCTTGAAGCTCAGCGATGCAAAAATTGTTACCGCGAGAGAATCGTTCGCGCAACTCATTCCAGACAACTAGGGCATCTTCGAACCATTCAAACCCTAAAGCAATCGCTGGAGAAACCGATCGAAGAATCCATCCAAGAAGCAAAGTGTTGTTTCTTGACCAGGCGCGAAGGAGAGGATCGCCAGGAGGAGGCTTCGTGATGGTGCCATCGAGAAATTGCAGCTTGTTCTTCGTCGATAAAGCTCGAATCATAGCTCGCTGCCAGGTTGAGTAATTGGTTTCATCAAGAACTGGAGAAACCAATTGCTGGCTAAGACTCTCAGCTGGATGGATGAAGAACGGACTGTTGGGATCGAGATCAGCTGCTGTGTGCGGAAGCGGAGGAACAGATGGAATCGGCTGCGATGGAATCAGTTGCGACGACGACGGAACATAAGTCTGATTGGCAAACGCCATTGTTGTAGAGAAGAAATTGATGAGAAGAAATGGATCGAAAGCAGAGAAAAACCCAAAAGAAATCAAGAATGCCCTGATGGCTCTGATACCATGTCAAAGTCTTAACGAATTCAGTTGAGAGAATGTAATAAACTGGAAAAGGTGTTTGTACAGGGGAACAGATTTCCCTTTAT